GTGGGAACAAATACCGGGCAAATTTCAACATTAGTATGAACACTTGAATACCTCTGGTGATCATTTCATGAAGAAGCTTCCTGCCTTGTAATCCACTTTCTCATAGCGTGAATAAGCGTTCCACATATTACTAAGAGAGCTGCTTTACGTTTGGTAGTTGGAAGTTAGCATTCTCTCCACCGTGAATGGCTTATTCAATTTGAGATGTTGAAGTAAAAAATGATAGATCCATATCTACCATTTCATTGCAACATAGAGAAACCTCAAAACCACAATTGCAGTAACACCTTCGTGAAGGATCCATGCATTGGCAATTTAATGATGGTTTCTCTTCTGTTGTATTACATAAGTCATTGATTAAGGTGTCATAACTCATCCAACCAAATGGCAACCCTTTTGAATCAAGTTGTCATGAAAGTTTTAACTGTAATCCTTTTAAATTAAAGGCAATCCTCCACACTTCCTATTTGAAAAACATATTAAATGTTACCCCGTGAAGATTTACCACGTATATAATTCCAGAAAGTCATAACACATATCTGGAAAAAAACCATTAATTATGCTGTGATAATCTATTCCCTTTGGAATGTCATAAAAGCCCAGTGCTTCTCAACGTTGTCTTATTATTGATACTGAGTCCTTTAATCACTGTAACTGCGGATATAATATCCACTTAATCACCGTTCCAGTAAATCTTCCCCAATAGAGAAAGACAAAAGACATCTGACCCCCATAACAAAAATAGTTGATCTTGAAGGTCAGAGTCACTAAAGACACAGTAGGACCTTCGAATCCTATTTGCACAAAATGTAAGATACCAATCCCATAGCGTTTGATCTCTTCAATTGATTTCGAAATCTTTCTAATTTCAAGAACAGAGTAGGGGCCGCATAGAGCTGATATGATTGAATGAAGGAACAACATCGATGATGCTTTTCGGAACAGAGAACTTAAAACTAAGCAGATAAGGAAAAGAGGGAAGGAACGAAGACGGACTGCACACCGAAGAAAGAGAGGGAAATTGGAGAAGGCATACCTTGTAGAAGGAGGCACCAGACGTCTTTCGCCTCATTGTTTAGATAGATCATGGGCTTCGAAAGGGGTATTAGGGTTTATCATCAATGAATACAGGAAATGCGAGGATATGCTAACCGTATGGCTGCACATGATGAGGCCCAATGCAAAGCCCAAAAAAAAGGGGACAGCATTTTGCAGCCTACCATCCATCTACGCACGTAAAGAGCCCGAGTCATTTTTGGCTGGGCAAAGGCAGGCTGAGCAGAATAGGTTTCTTTGTCCAAGTAGAAATGTTTATTCATCGTATCATATAGGGAAAAACCTTCAATCAATAACTGGTAAATAACATTTTAAACATCAAATGTAATTCAAAATTACAGAAATTATAATATTCAAAGAAATAAATATAAATATTAGTAGTTCATCATAATTTCACATTACTTACACATTCAAACACATCATAATGAGTTTCAACACACCATCCTTAATTAAATGAGAAATAATTAACATCCAATTATCTATAGTTTATTGAAAACAAGGTAACTAAAAAACTATAATAACACAGTAATATGCTTGCATATTATTTTTTAAATAAAATTATTTATATTTTCAGAGCAGGGCTAAATGGACAAGGAAAGACATGGTGCCTGACAAGCGACTATGCTCAAAAATGCCCAATATTTCTCTGGTCCATTTTTTTCAGACAGGACTGGCATTTTTCTACCGGGCTTAGGAGGGCATAGTGGGCTAATAGGTCATATGAGTACCCCTGATGCTAAAGACACTAGAAGCGACCAATTCCGTGGAAGTCTTTATACAAAATTTATCTCATTTTGCAACTAAAATTGTCATTTGAATTTTCGAAAATCCCAAAAAGTGATCTGAAGTTGTAAAATTCTAATTCAGTCAATATAACTAAATTGAAATTTTAAAATGTTATGAATTTACAATGTTACCTTCAAAACGCTAGAAGTGACCAATTCCATGGAAGTCTTTATACAAATTTTATCTCATTTTATTACTAAAAATGTCATTTGAATTTTGGAAAACCCCAAAAAGTGATATGACGTTGCAAAATTCTAATTCACTCAATATAACTAAATTGAAATTTTAAAACGTTAGGAATTTACGATGTTACCTTTATTTATTAAATTAGGCAACTAATTTTTTTTTTTGAATTTTTTCAACTTTCACAATATGATTAACAATTTTTTTAACAAGTGTTATAACTCCATTAATTTTATTTATCACATGTTTTTCAGGTTTTTAAAAATGACATTTTTAACAGTTGTAATATGATTGCCAACTCTTATAACCATATTCACAACTTTATTAATGTCATTAACCATATTATATGACAGTTTTTAAAATTCATATTATTGACTCACTAAAAGGGTTGTTAATCATATTACGAATACTCAAAAAATTTCATAAGGTTAGACACTTACTAATATCTCCAAGTTTAAAAACATGCCATATAGCATGGTTAATGACTTTAATAGAATTAGGAATATTGTTATAAGAGTTTGCAACCATATTGCAAATGTTAAAAGAAAAAATCTCAGTTTAAAAATCTAGAAAATACATAATAAATAACGTTAAATTGTGAGACTTGTTTAAAAAAATTGTCAATTTGAAAAAATCCCACAAGATTAGGCACTTACTAATTTCACCAAGTTTAGAAACATGCCATATAATATGGTTAATGGAGTTAATAGAGTTATAAATATTATTATTATAAGCAGTGCACAAAAAATCGATTCAGACTGGCCAGTTGAACCGGTGAACCAGTTAGTGGACCAGTTCAGTTTGAATATTAAATCGGGAGGCAGTTGAACCGGTAGAGAATCGGTCAAACCGGTGTGAATCGATAATCGATTTAAATGATTAGGTTATTATTAGTCCTATTTTTCTCATACATCTCCTATTATATCAGTCCCTGTAGATTTAAATGAATTTTAATAATAATTTTGGTATAATGATTATTAATTTTAATTAATGATGAACCATAAAGATCAAAATTCTCAATGTTGTTATACTTTGTGATTGTTATAATCAAATTATTGTCATATTTTCTTACATTTTGTTATTAGTAATTGTTAATGTTGTTATATTTTATTACTTTTAATTAAATTGTATTATTTTAATATGATCGGTTAGACCCTGGGTTGATCCCAGTCCGACCAACTAACCCTTAAACTATTACTTCAATCGGTTTAGTATCCGATCTGATTTTTTGTTCTTTGGGTATAAGAGCTAGCAACCATGTCACAAGTAGTATTAAAAAATGTGAGTTTAAAAACTAAAAAAAAAAAGTGCTAAATAGTATTAATCATTTTCAGATTCGTCAACCACATTATAATATTATAAATATTGAATAAAATTTTCAAAATGATATTGTCCGTTGCTAGAGCCCTAAGGGGTGTTTGACAACTCCGAAAAGCACTTTTCAGAAGCACTTTTCTGTAAACTTCTCTATATATTTACTTTGTAAACCATAAAAACACTTCTTAAATTATAGTTTGGTTTCCATCTAAACACCCCAAGGACTTTGTGACAACAATAGCGCCTTGAAGAGAGGAAAAAGTCTCTACGGAAAACCCACCCTCCGAGTAAAAATCTCATTTGTGATTTGACATGCTTACATCTCCAAATCATCACTCTCGATTTATAATTAAAGGCTAAAATACATAAAAACTTCCTACATTTGGGTCTGATCACCGCTTTCCTAGTCTTGTTTAAATTAAGGATTCTAATGTATCATGTTTTTATTAATAGAAAATTGGAAATAAATTTCTCACTGAAAAATTAACTAGCAAATGGTCCTTAAGATGATAAATTACACGGATTAAGATAAGTTGCACGTAAGAGAAGTTAAGTTGAACATAAAAGAAATAATTTGCACAGAACATTATTTAGATATAAGAAACAAATTTACAAATAAAAAATATAACTTGCACATAAGAGAAGTCAGAAGATAGATCACATACAAAGAAAATTCAATTGCACAAAAAAAAAAGATATAACACAAGAAAAGATGATTATACATAAGAAAAGTAAGTTATACCCAGAAAAAGTTAAGCTACATAAAGTCCTTAAATATCATTTACTAATTAATTTCTCTCCCCAGTTTTTCTTTTTATTAACAGTTTTTGTCGTATCAAAACTTCCATATTTTTATTATGCCATTTTATTTGAAAAGAATAACACATGCTATTTCACACGTAATTTTAAAAATTTTTGAAATGGAAAAAGTATAAAACTACTTAAAATTACATATAAAATTTTCGACACGGCAAAAACATTAATTTAACAGTTACTTTAAATTAAAGGCAGAGAATTGATAATCAAAATATGAAATATTTAAAAAAAATATCAAGATCCTTAATTTAAACAAGTTTAAATACTAGAAGAATTATGCACAACTGACTCAAATTTCAAAAATCAGGAAGATATTTTTATGTATTTTAGCCTTTATAAAACTAAAAGCTGAACTAGACATGCAAAATTGCAAATACACCAACCCCACTTTTAATTTTATTGATAGACAGATTTAACGTCCACGGTAAGTCCAAGACCCTGAAATCTTGGAAACAAATGCTGGAATGAAAACGCAGAATTATGTGTGTACTAGCAGCCAAATGGTCTCGAGTTCAAATACTGGTACCACAAAGATGTGCGTGTTAGAGAGAAGGGGGGGGGGGGATTTCACAATAAGCTGTAAGTCTGCAACTTCTAATTAACACTGAAGCACTTTTTTTGTACAGATCAGAAAAGTAGCACAATCCTATTCCTATATCTCTAAAGAAAGCATCAATTCCATAGCCAGCTTAAGGTTTAAGGTATCTTTCTCGTCAGGACATTACAACATGATGCTCGGTAACTGAAACCCATAAACCAAAGTAAAAACCCTGAAAGATAAAAACTAAACATGTATTAACAAACAAACACAAATACAGGAAAAATAGCTTCTTCTATTTGGCTTAACAATTGTGGTGAAGGCATTGAGCCAAATAAACCAGATGCCATGTAAGAGACATCAAATTCAGAATATTTAGCAGTGATGAATGTGAATTAAGCCTCTTCAGCTTGTCGTTCAGCCTAATAATCCGGGATCGGACCACATCGTGTTCTCCTTCCTTCGCCGGCGTATTAGCGATGGCAGTGGCGGTTTCAGTGGCCGCGGTGGAATTTGCGCCGGTAGTGTGCTGATTCCCTTTGCCAAGTTCAGAGGTAAGATCTCCCCTTCCCCTTCCTTCTTCTTTCTCTATTTTCATCCTCTCGAACATAACCTATCCATTAAGAAAGTAGGAATGAAGACCAAAAGAATCTTTGCAACGAAACAAGGCATTTATTGAAGGATTATAAATAATGCCATGTTCATTAACAGATAAACAGAGTAAAGAAGTGGATGAGTTTTTCATGCCTTTTTTTCAGTCCATTTAGCTTCCGAAGAGAATAACGAAGCCATTGCTCATTAATCTTTGGAGAAATTATAATCGGATTTCACAGAAGAGAAATAATTATCAAAAAGTCCTTTATAATGACAAATTCTATAAGGAGAATGATAACAGACTTGTTTTTTAATTATTTTCCTTACCTGAATTCTCATTATAATTCCCTCTTAACCCTTCTATCAAGCGACTTATTAGAACTCAATAGGTAAGACCAAATTATTAGGCTACTTCTTTTTGAGAAGCACAGAGCAAATCAAACGAAGTGCAGAAGTAGAGAACAAGCCGTATTTTATATGGCTACAATTTAAAAAGTTAAACCATAGAATAGTACTCGTTGATTTGTGAGCTTGATGTATTAAAATTTGTGCCTATATGCTGCAAGATCAACAAACAATTAAATAAATGCTTGGCTGAGAAATAAGAATCATTAACTAGGATGCTGCAGAAAGTAAGCTCTCAGGACATAAGAAATATATATAATTGCTCCTTTTTTTCATTTTGATACCAAATCAAACTAAATATGAAGATCTAGACAGTACTCATAGCATATTGATCACCAACTACCATAAAAGGTTCTCACTTAAATTCAAACAGAGGAACTTGGAATATTTTTCGCAAGAAGATCCATCAAGAAAATGGAAATAACACAAAAGTTAATGAGATTCATACCTTAGTGGCACGCGGCTCCAAGTACATGGAATTGACAAAGAGAGTTAAAAGCGAGGCCAACAGATTAAAGACTTGAAACATTTCAGCCTTGCTGAAGAACACAGTCTTTCGATGTCTCAAAACATGCCCCAACAAAGCCAATCCAACACTATAAGCCATAGTCCTAAAATAAACTGGGTAAATCTTACTCTGAACCACCCCAAATTGTTGCCTTGGCATAGCCCTAGAAAGCACGTGGCTTGAAACAAACGTAACCCAAACACATAACCCATAAGCAGTAGCAAAACCCATCAAATTTGCAGCACTCATCACATTATCTAGCGTCTCCTTTGACCCTATATAGCTTCCAACATTCTTCACTGCTTCTGAAACATTGCTCGAAACATCTTTCCTGAGAGTATTTCCAGTGTCCTTTGCTTCTTTTAAGGTATCTTTGGCTTTTTCTTGGACATAATGTGTCCTATGTGAAACTGTTTCTTTGGCCTTTCCAACTGAATCTGCCACTGTTTCACTAACTTCCTTGGCTCCTTTTAAAGTATCTTTCGCTTTTGCTTGGACGTTATTTGCTGTATCTCTTGCTTCCTCCTTGGTTGTTTCCATGGCTTCTCTGGCACTATCCTTTGCTCTTCCCATGGCGTCGGCAATCTTGTGCTTGCATTTTCCATAAGCGTCGCAAATGAGCTCCTTAGGAGCGTGAAGAAAGGAGCCATATTGGTCATGGGGAAGATCTTGAGATGAGAGGCCTTGACCAATGTTTGGGAGAACTGAAGCAGCTTCTTTGATCCTCTCCTTGGTTTCGCCGAACACGCCGGAGCGATCAGTGGCGCCGCCTTCGATGATGAATCTCTCGCTGTGTGGTTGATCTGGGGTGATAGAGATTTTGGTGTTATGGTGGCCGTCTTGGTCGTATTCCACCACGACCACTCTGTGACCTTCCTTCACGATGGTCTGCTCGGAGTCGCCGTTCCGACGGATTTGTGGCGCGGGAGAGAAGACACCTGCTCCGGCGAGTGAAGCCATTACAAGACTAAGAGCCACGAGGTTGATCATTTTTGGCGAGTTTAGTTTGGTCGTGTGTGATTTCTTTGGACAATAATTGGTCTTGATGTTACTGTTAGTGATATAGCGTTCGAGAAATCTGAGATGGGTTCGGTTGGACTTGAAGCGGAATAGAAATGGATCGGTCGGCGAAAGAGCGACGACACGTGGCAGCGACGAAGAGTCACGTGGCAGATGGGGCTTGTTCTGTTGCACACGTAGCATAATACGCCACGTGTCGATATTGAATGAGATTGTGTAACTGTGTTGCAATTTGGACTGTCCGGGCCGAAATAATTTTCTTTTCCAAAAAGAGTTCATTAAAAAAAAAAAAACTTTTATTTTAGAACAATGCTTGAATTGGAAAGTTGGATGCAACAAAACACTACTCCCTCCCTCCCTCTTCATAAGCAATTTTCGGGTCCATTAAGTAGATCAAAAAATTAGTTAAAGATAATAACTTGATAGAAATTGAAAGTTTTTCTTTAAAATACCCTTATTTAGGGAGCAAAGAGTATAAGAAAGAAAATAAGAAAATTATTATAATAAAGAGAATTATGAAAAAAAGAAAATGCATGATAGAGAGAGATGATAATTTGGAAAAGGAGATAATAAATATATTGAGTATTAAAATAAATAATTAATAGGGGTAAAATAGGAAATTTGTTACAAAAATTTAAAACAACTTGCAAATGTTGCCTATATTTAGGAACAAGAGGAGGATAGAAGTTGTTGCTTATAAAAAGGAAAGGAGGGAGTACTTGAACTGCACTATGCAAGTTCCGCTTTCTAAGGGTGAGCAAAATCAAACCGAAACTAAAAACCAAACCGAACCGAACCAAACTTAATTCAGTTTTTCAGTTCAACTATTTCAATTATTCAGTTTTTTTTGTTTATTTGTTCGGTTATTTCGATGTTTGGTTTTCTATTTGGTGTCCATAAAAAAATTTCGATTATAACCGAAAAACTAAAATAATAATAACAAAATAAAAAAAAATAGTGCCTCTACCAATTTCTCATATAATATATATATATATATGATATAATCAATATTTTTTTAATTTTCCAACCCACTAGCCCAGGCCCAATGAAATAAATAATACCAACAATCTGAAAAGTCCAAGTCCAACACATCATGCTCACTTGAATCATTGATTAATGCTTAAAATAAATAAAAAATCATTGTATTTTAAGTAACAAATTCAAAATTTGTTCATGTTCGACCCTCATTTTGTCATGTATTATGCCCTAGCCCTCTCCTTGTGCCAACTCACTCCATCACTCAAATCCTCACCGTCCTTAGTTTCTTAGACTCTCACCCACACACCTTTATAGTTCCGTTCAGTCTTTGCAGTCTTTTTGAGCCTCCATCGTTCTATTCAAAATCTAGCATCATCTTCAACTCATCTAAGTCCAACATCATCTTCAACCATCTCCACTGTCTAGTTACTTCATTGTTTTGGCAAATAATTTTACCATTTAAAAATTTTTAACTAAATTTTCTTCTCATTAAAATATTGTGTAAACTTTCTTCTAATAAATATTTGATGACATATTGTCAAAGTAAAACCATGGCTGACCAAACAATTGGAATTGGAGGAGGTGGCATGGGTGGCACTACTAGAAAAAGTCAAACTCCAACTATTGAGAATAATAAGCCTTAAACAATTAGGGTTGGGGGGAAAAAAGCCATGAACCTAAGATCCAAAGTTTGGGAACACTTCACTAGATTTGTAGATGATGAAGGCAATATTAGAGGTAAGTGTAATTACTATGGAAGTGTTATTAAATGTGATCCAAAAGCAAATGGAACCACTGCACTTAACAACCACATGAACACTTGTAAATTGAGGTCTCCTCCTAAACAACTTGCATAATCTCACTTAAATTTTAATGTAGAAGATGATAAAATGGGTTTGGTTAGTTGAAAATTTGATCAAGAAGCTGTTAGGAAAGTCTTAACATGTATGCTAATCACTGATGAATTACCCTTCAAGTTTGTTGAAGGGGTTGGTTTTAAGCAATTTATGCATTGTGCTCAACCTAAATTTAGAATTCCATCTAGATGGATAGTAACTCTGTAAATTGAGGCTCCCTCTTGAACAACTTGCACAATCTCACTTAAATTTTAATGTAGAAGATGATAAAATGCATTTGATTAGTTGGAAATTTGATCAATAAGCTGTTAGGAAAGCCTTAGTGATTGAACCCAATTCTTCTATGTCTTTTCATGTCATTTTTAGGGTTTTTATCATAGTTAGTGGCACTTTTAATGTTTATTGTGCTTAATTTAGATTAAGAGTTCTTGCTTTGAGTTAGTGTTTTTTTGAGGATAAAATTGTCATAATTAGTTATTAGTTGTATTTGATTAATTTCTAAGACAATTAATGCTTCAAATTGTTGCTTTTCATTATAGGACACTTGAGAATTAGAACCAAGATTGAAGACCAAAGTGTTACCCAACATGAGAACTCAGAGTATTGAATCTGGAACAGTTGGCCACGGCCAAGAAAATGCTACGTCGTGGCATAAGTCTGAAAATGTACATAAGTGACTATTCTGAAATAGTTCGCCATGGCAAACATTTTCCTTCGCTACGGCCAACTCTCAAAATTTTACTGAAGCTCCTTTCTAGAATAGTTCACTGGGCAAACATTTTCCTTCACCACGACGAAACCCCTCGTATCAGTAGCATTAGATTTGGATCCAGAATGCAAAATTAGAGCATATACTCATATGATCTGACCCAAATTGACCCCTTAAACCCCTAAAAACCCTATTTCTGAAACAAGACTCCATTGTCTCATCGCTGACACCTCTTTTCACTCATCTTCTTGCCTCTCAATCTCCATCTTCTTCCCCATCCATTTCATTCACCTTTCCTTCATTCCATCTCATTTTTTTCAACTCCCAACTACTATAGCTGACGAATTCACTCCAGTTGGAGCTGTTCTTGAAGCTATGGAGGGCTAAGTTGTTTTCAACTCTTGAAGATGATGAAGTGGCATGAGTTTCCAAGCTTTAAAGGGGAGTTTAGTTTCAATCTTTAGTTTTTAGCTATATATTTATTGGATTGTTGCTGTAATCATTGTTTCATGATTTATAATTGTAGTTTGGATTGATTAATATTGAATTTTGAGCTTTAATATGTGTGGTCACATATACGTCTCTTTGTAATTCCCTTGATTCTCTCTTATCTTGCATCGTTATGTTTTGATATTGAGCTGATTTTGGGTTGCATTGAACCAATTATATTGATCATTCTCAAATTACACATTAGGAGAGCTTAACTGTAACACCTCCTTTATTGTCTCATTATACGTTAATTGGAACAATTATAATGCATTTCTCAGTGTTTCTAAGTGAAAAATTTCAGTTTCAAAATTTCACATTTAATTCTGTCTGTACACTGTTCATCTGAATTTGGGCCAACTTTGAAAATTCATAACTAATTCTAAAAAAAACAAAATGAGACGGTTCTAATTTTCACATGAAGCTTGCTAAGAGTTATATAGAGGAAAAATATTCATTAGACTCAATTCCATCAAGAATAGCACCAGAAAATTTGACAAGATGCACTATTCATATGGTCAATTTTCGAATTTTCAGGATTTTAGCACAACTTTGGAAGGGCATAACTCTTAGCAAAAAACTCCAAATTTCATGGATTACCACTTGATTTAAAGCTAAAAATGAGATCTATTGGCCTGAAAAATCTCAAGTCTAAATTATATCATTTGCTTATTATTTTATGTGTCACCATTTTGTCTCTAATTTAGGTAATTTTATCCCCCAATCACTTCTTTCTTGAATTTTATATTCCTTTTTCCTTTTCTATACCCTTTAAGAATTCTACCACTCAATATTTCAACACTTGGACATGTCATATCAATATAATTTACAACATATTACCATTCATAATCTATTACAAACTTGGCATAAAGTTTAGCAACACATCACATGACATTCCAAAATAACATAATGATCATCAATCTTCTTTATCCCAATACCAACTCCTTACCTTGATCCATGGATGACCCACTTCCTAAATGATAAATAAATTGCTATAGGGGGAATGAGATTTCATAGAAATCTCAATAGCATTTGAATTACAATTATCATGCAAATCAAGCAAGTTACAATGTGACATGTTATAGAACTTCAAGACATCCTCAAGTCACATTAAATCATATCCAACAATATGCCAGAAAAGGAACATTAACACTTCCACACTGACACAATTCAATGCATTTGGCCAAAGCATAAATCAAGGGTATCCAACCAACCAAGATCACAACACAAGTTCCTCAATCCAAGTAAATAACACATCACATTAAACAAGCAAGATAAACAATCAAATTATAATTCAAAGCTACCTTTTTGAAACTTGTCCACTAGGTTACTTCAAGGAACAAAGCTTCTCCTTGGTTCCTCCTTACAATGCCTATTAAACTAAATATAAACATAAGCCACATTAATCGCTAAATAACTTAATGACAATTCTTGAACTTTAACTTAATAATTTCTCTCATTTTTCTTTGATTTTTAACAAAATGATTCCTCTTTTAGAATCAATTACCTAATGACCCATTCATACACAATTTTTCATGCGGAATCTAAATATGGAATCATATTTTCAAAAATCAAACTCCTTCCCCATGAACAGTAACTGGCCGAATAGGGGGTATTTATTTTCAAAAATTTTATTTTTGATTCCAATGATTTTAAACACTTCCCAACCATATATTCCTACACAAAAACATGTTTTAAAGCCATTGGAACCATCCAATTAAGCCAAAACAATCAGCTCCTGCATGAATAGTGATGGCCGAATAGGAACCTTAAAATCTCAACTTTGACTTTCTTCCAAAAATCAATCCATACACCATTTAATCTTGCTTAGTTCACTTGATTGTTAAGATTTCTATCCTTCCCTAAGTATCACATGGGTGGACCGAATTTGACAGCATTTTCCCATGATTTTCCAAGCCAAAATCCTAATCCAATTAATG